ATATTTGGTGCGAAAACTGAGTAGAGAACTGTTATTAAATTTTTTGTTGAATCGGAATAAAACAGTTCGAAATTTTTAACAAATGGTGGTTAGTGTATGCAAAAACTGCTAATCACAAACGCATGCGTGCCAGTGGATTTTATTCAAAAATGGCGTAAGATTTTTTATATTCACGGTTTGGTTCACAGATTTCATATCACAGAATTAAACTGTTAATGTAACTACATAGTTATCTACAATTCTACACATGATGATTTCTTCGGTGCCAACATAAACATCCCCATTTGATAAAGATACAAATTTTTTCATTCAGAAGTTTTTACGCTTCAGAATTTCTTTAAAAAATGGCCTGCACGACAGCTGTTCACGATAAAACACATAACTAATTATCTGATTTCCATCGTCACCATCGTTCATCGTATAATTTACGAACAACTTTTGCATTTTATTTTGTTTAATTGCGCTTTTGAAAAATAGTGAAAGCATAAGATGGCTCATGCAGTCAGGACACAAACAGTTTTCTCAATATTACTAAATGAATAGCAAGCAATAACCATTTAGCACGAATTTTGAAGCATTAAAGACACCAAATAAGGCCACATTCGGGGACAGGAGAATCTTACAGCACGACAACGCATCTCTTTGCTCAACACTCTAAATAACTGACTAATTGGATTAAAAATACTCTACACTTTCTCATTCGCCCTACATTCTTCAACCGTAAGACATTCGTCTTGCCATAAAGTTGTAATTTGAAAACAAGACGTGTGAAAGGCATTCAATAAATGCAACGATGTTTTAACTTAATTGTAAATTTGAATGACTTACCCTCGTGTCTTCTGTCTTTTTGTATTGCGAGACAAAATTTCCGAGAAGGGCTAAAAAAGGGGGGACACTATTAAAAGGAACTGCAGTATTTATTTCTTATTTAATCACTAATAAAGTTTTTCTAAACGAAGATTCTCGTCATTTAATTGTCATATCTCTTACTATTTTTCTTGATCTCACTTCACACAAATACTTATCCAAACAAAATCTGTTTGCTTCTGGATTGAAGTACTCGTAATTGCATAGCTTGTGCACTAAAATTCTGAAGGCCATTGAGGCTTAAGCTCCGTAAATATAATGGCACAATGTACTTTTACTTCCCAAATGAAATGTGTCAGCATTTCTGATGATTCACGTTCGCTATCGGTAAACAATCCCTTTCATCTGAAGTTGCAGTTTCGTCTTTGACTGGCAAGTAATAATTCCCCTGTGTACTAAAGAGATAAGTGCTATTATGCGCTTTAGCATAATTCCTCTTTTTCTGTAAATCAGCAAATCAGCTTTAAGCTGCCAGTACGTTGAAGGAATTCCTAATCCTAGCAAATTCTATATAGGAGTTTTCTACTTGAAATCAATCAATGTTTTCTGCATTTTTTATAAAGACTCTGCTCTTTCTTCTTATAGCCTAACCCATCTTATGTATTACATAAAAATGCTACATGGTAAATTAGTTTTGCAGGGAAGTGATTTTCCCTGCAAAGAATCCAGATTATATCTTTATGAAGAAACATAATTTTCTCCAGTGCATACTGTCGACGTGTAAGTGGTTATCCTGCTCAGAAAACACGCATTAGATTTCCTAGAAGAGGGTTGTTTATTTACTTGGTTCACTTAAAAGTCTTAAAGGTCCGACAATGGCTTTGAACTAAAATAAGCTAGACGATATTTCGTCTTCATTTGGACTTTATAGATTGAATCTTTCACCCCTCTCTAATCGCGCAATAATTGGAAAGAACTGCCACATTATTTCTTACATGCTTCAATTTGTAGTACAATTAACACAATCAACTAGGAACTGGAGGTTCCGTGGTTTGAACCCCAACGGGGGCACGGATTATTTTATATATGTCTTTGTTTCGAAAAATCTAATTTTCTTCTCAATTAAACGCCAGCTTATAAAATACTTTCTTATCATCTTTAGATGCTGGCCCGACAATGTCGAGTGGATAAAAGCTCTGAATAATGGTAATTAGATCGAATGCAAATCTGGCGATAGTCATTGCTACATGAGTGTTTGGGCGGCTTTTTTTGAAAAAATCCTCCCGGAAAGTATTCATCTCTTACGAGGTCTTTGCCTTAATTAAATCAATTAACCTAAATGTTGAAAATTTAGTACTATTAACAATGCTGCAAGTTTGTACACTTATTCATTTCCAGATTTCACTATAAGTTTACTCAGAAATTTTCATTTGCAACGTTTCGCAAAAAAGAAATATTTTCAACTTGAAATAGAATATTTATCTCTTTTATTATAATCAACATGAAAAACTCTGATTCATTAGTCTGAGAATAAATTGCGACTTTTTGAACAAACCTTAAAACAAAAGAAATAATGCATGCAATTGTATATTTTAACACAATTGGAATGAATTATATAAAAAATCAGTTAACATTAAAAACGCTGCCTTCATATGTCACTTTCTCCACCACAAAAACTCAGCTTCTGAATTTCAAAGATATTTTACGTTCAGCGTAAATTCAATTAAATTTATCTGAGAATGAAAGGTCTTAATCTCAGTTCAATCGGAGCATTTCTCATATTTTCAGATGCGTTTATTTTACATCGGACTTGTCCATAAATTTTAAACTCTAAACAAAGTCCTTTTAAACTCTTATCACTTTTATCCAGGATTCCTCCATCTCAACCATGCACTGATGTTGGCGGCAGGGCCACCTTGCAAATAAATTAATCTTACCAAAGCATGGTCTTATTGATTCTGGAGGTATAATCTGAAGGCTTAAGTATAATTTATGCTCAGTCATTTGCTAAGGGAACCAGGCTATCCAGAATATTTAACATGATTAGTTATGTCCGTTATAAGTCGTATGGGTGAAGATTGCTCATGAGAAGATATTAATTCAAAGGCCTCCACAGAATGGAACAGAAAATTTAGTGGAAGCTGAATCGCGATGATGACAACTATTTATTGATTTCAAGACTTGGCGTTCGCTTATAAGTTTCTCGGTATTGCTGGATCAGAAATATCTAAAATGGAACTGCATTGGATGCTTAGACAATAGCTTTAAATAATTAAAATTCAAATCTATATCGTTTATGAGTTCAATAAATTCACTTTCTTTTAATGTAGCACAATAAACTGTAAATTTCTTATTTTATTAAGGACTAATAATTTGCTAAATTTGCACAATCATCTTAATCGCTGCTTTAATTTTCTTAAGCATATTACCATATGCTATATGCCCACCAGAGGCAGAGCGGTAAAGTCGCTGAACACTGGTAGTTCGTTCCGAGGTTCGAATCCCGCGAACGGGCTGGTTGCATGGGGCGTTTTCGTGGTTTTCCCCATGTGTAACGTGTATACGAGCCAGTTTCCCTTAGACAGTCCTCCACGAAGGCATCCCTCCCCTTAGGCAGATAGCCCTCGAGGCTTTGCCATATTCACACACACAAACACACACACACACACACACACACCATATGCTATATACACACTTTGTACTATTATCGATAGTGCGTTGTTTCTTTTACTTCGCTTTCTCTAATGATGATTTCAAATTTGCATGACTTAGCTAAATGCATTTTTACTACAAATGGAATGATAATTTAAAATTATTTTGTTCCGCTAATTCCGTTTGTTCGGTGTAATGATATTTCATCTCTGATTCTGATTGAAAATTGACCTGAAGCTAACCATTTCAAAAGTTCTACATCCGTTTCAAAATGCGCATTTCAGTAACTCAACGACAAATAAACAAAGACCGCATGTTTTATTGTATGTACATAACTACATTACCTGCATCTTTCTTCTTGACTGAGATAGCAGGCCGTCCGTGTTAAACGCATTCCAAGTAGGTATTTTTAATGTTTAACTGATACCGATTAATCTCATTATTAAATCATCATTTCGTATTCTGACATAATATAATTTTGAGAAACACGTTTTATTGAGCTTTGCATACTTGTTTTCCATGTTAAATTTAATTTACTTCAGCAGCCTAATTAAAAAATATAATCGCAGTCATCTAGCGATAAATGCAGAAAAACCTTTGAATTCTTGATAGCTGCTTATCCTTTTCAAAGCACTAAATTTTACGCCGATTTAATTACCGCAATAGCCTTTCAAAACACCAATAACATTTCTTCGCAAGAACATCTGAAAAAACAAATTAGTGTAGCTAGCCATTCAATTAGGAAATTTGCCTCCCTGAAGCAACGATTGAACGACTATAAAAAAATCGATTATGTTCCTTGTGAAAAACAGTATTTATTATTTCATGAAATTTAAATGCATCCATGAATTATAAACCTTCAGCAATTAATTAGTATTTGAGTAATTCCTTGTTAATGATTTACAATTCGGGGAAAAAAACTAAATATCAACTGCGAATAAGCATATATTTTGAAATGAATATCATTTTAATTAAATTGCATAACTTTTAATGTGCGCGAAATACTTTAATATGAGCTTAAGTTCGTAATTTAATTCTGACTAAGAACTATAGGAAAAACAAATTTATGGGTTTAATAAATATTCCCGAACTGATCATTTGCTTCAAAAATCTAAATACGACGATGAATGGATTCAACATAAATTATGAATTTAAATTGTTTATGAGATTTAGAAAATTAACTTCGAAATTTTTTCCTTCTGCTCTAATTACGAAATTATTTTATTTCTTAGTAATTTGTAAGTTATAGTTTATTCCTGTCACATATCCAATGATATCATTATAAACTAGTGTTAACATTATATTTAGGAATATTAATTTGAAAGCAAGCCTTATTTTATATTAGGCATAAGTTTATATATGTATATGTCGTATTTTCTACCTTAAACATAAATAACATAAATAATATAAATAAGGTTTCTTAGTAACACTGAACAATCTAATTATTATATAAATAACCTAACATAGCCAGCTAAATAAAATTATTTAAACTTAAACAATAAAACATTTTTTTAGAAGGAAAATGCTATTTATTAACTTACCACCATGAGCTTCACAAATTATCGTTAGCGAAGAACCTTCTTTGTAAGGACCTATGGTTCCAGATAAGGTTCTGTTATCCTTATCCTTTATCACCAGACTGTCTGTAGGCACTGCAGAACAGGAAAATTTTTTTTTACTAATACGTACTTCAGAACAATGTATATAAAAGGTTATATAGTTTTTTTTCAGGTTTGATCAAATTAAAGCTTTATTAATAAGTCCTTGTCCAAATTTATCAGTACTCAAATAGGTAATGCGGAAGCTCTGATAAGAACTTGAAATGAATCGAAACACTTTGAAGATGCTAGTAATTAATTAACTGAAAATTATCACACAACTTAGATACTAAACATTAAATCAGAAGTGTATGTGTATATTCCTTTAGCCGTGCTTTCTCTGCGGAAAACTTTCTTCTGTAGTCTAAATAAAAAGGCTACTTTACTATTAATTCTTTGACTAAATAAAATATGGGATCTATAAAATTCTTCAAAATCTTTATATATTTTAATCTGCATTGTTAATTTCAAGCACTTTGTTGCTAGTATAAAGTTGGATGTATATGTTAATTCCAATATATTTTATAAACATTCTTCAAATAATATTGGTGTTTCATAATTAGCTGTCCGGCTGTCCTAGATTAAAACATGAATCAAATAAAGTAAGCTTTGAAACAAAAAAAAATCGTTTTCACATAAAGCATGTTCAAAAATTACATGAAGCTTTATTTCCGAAAAAAAAAGACTACCAATGTTAAAAATAATATTTTTAGCAGAATAAAAAGTCAAATAACAAAATTTCCACTCTCATATGTCCAAACTCTTTTGATGTATTATTAATTAAAATTTTCCTGACAAGTATTGCCACGTCTGTTAATATTGCTATATATATTAGCAGCTATCTACGATAATTTTTCTTCCCCCCCCCCTAAAATCCAGCACTCTGCGGTTGAGCAATTGTCTGGAAGATGGCCGAACAAAGTCATTCGGCCACAAGAACATGCACGAAACTTTTTCATTTACGAACTTCTGAGAGATACTTTTTACATTCGAAAGACATTTATTTTTAAGGATTTGTTAAAATTCCATATCATCACGCTAAGTCCTAAACCACCCTAAATCGTTTTTTTTTTTTTCGTCTAAATTTGGAAGTTCGTTTCAGCGTCAGCTTTGCATCTTATGAATTGAATTTTTTTAAGTCTTTCTTAAGATTTTTAAATAATTGCTAACTGTAAACTTATTTATCGAATGATCTTATAAAGATTGAAATTTCGGATCTATTTAACAAAAATGACCAAAATATCTTAGTTTAATAGCCTATTTAATTTTAGTTATTTGTTTTAGTTTTATTTAATTCAATTGGCCAAGTAGAGTTCTGAGTCTATGAACAAACGTTCAAGAAATATCTTGCTCTGAAAAGTTTTAAACTTTTTTTTTGGCACAGAGATAAAAGGATTTCCGCTGTAAAAAAGAATTTGCCCAATTATTATTTAAAATTACTGTTTTACGTCGAATTACTATTTCAAAATATTACTAAAATCTTAGATCTTTAAATGCATAGGTTAAGAATTTGTAGGAGGCATTCTTTTTCAGACTTTTGAATTCCAATCTGCATCAAACCAGTGGCCCTCAAACTTTGTCAACTCACAGAACCCTTCTAATGTTTTCTTTTTGGGGGATCCTCATGCCACGCTTACAAAAGTATATCCTAAAACAATATTTAAGTGGCTTTAATATGTTATAGGTGTTTTATGTACAGACAATTAAAGAGAAGTATTGTATTTTTATTAAACAGTTTTAACATAAAATTAATGTAATTTACTTATTAACAGCATTAGCTTGTATTTCAGCATTATTAACAGCATTAGCTTGTATTTCGGGTGTCACTTACACTTCCTTCTTTACAGTACTTAGTGACAAGAGTGTTCTGGCATTTTTTACATAATTTTTTTAAGTTCTATATTTATGTTATCTGGAGTCGCATTTTATATTCGGCATTTAATTAGTTTCCATATTTTGCTTTTGTTGCCACATTTGTTTAGAAAGATTTTCCACTTAATTACGTTAGTTTGAAGAGCATTAAAATTCTTATAGCTGTATGGGGAAATATCACTTTAAAACTTTCTTCAATTAAAAAAAGAAAATTCCTTTGCGTTATTTTTAACACTGTAGTCTAAATTTAATTCATTTTCCATTAGAAAACTTTTAAGTTCTGCTAAGTGATGAATATGTGATGATATGATAGCTACATATTAAATTTTAAAATTACTTTATAACTAAATGTAGCTTTACTAACTAGTGTTTTAAGGTATTTTATCGCTGTTTCAAGCATGCCTTTGTGGTGTGACGGTAGCAACTTGAAGCGTATTCGAGAGGTGTATGTTCGAGTTCAAGGGAGGGCAATACAGATTTTTCACGTCTCCTGCTTCAAAAATAAACTAATGACTCTACAGTGTGAGCGATTTTACCATCTTCTTTTTGAATTTTGTTTTGACTAGCTGAATCATGAGGTTTGACCCACGGAACCAGGGATTCCGCGGAACAATGTTTGAAGACCATTTCATTAGACGATTAGAGCAAAAATACAAAAGATGCAAAAGAAAAATGATGGAAATTCTTCATGTGTAATACAATAACATTCTCTCCCTGAGATTTATAATATTGTAAATAACTCTGGATTTTTTAAAATGAAGCTTTAGTATACATCATTTAAAACGAAATTGATATTATTTTTTTTAGAATGCACAACTTGACGGATCTGATATAATGTTTAGCAAAATAAATTTTAAGGGATAGCTGTCTGCTGTTATTTTTTTAAACCTATACCGGCTTGTGTTTCAGTTATACCTTTACCAGTTATACCTTTCAGTTATACTTTTAAAATGAGCTATTAAAATAAATAATGCTCGGATTAATTATATCTGTTAAAATATTTAAGTTAGAAGTTTTGCAATAAATGGTATTAAAGTCACGTTTATTTACTCCTAACACGCAAATGATTAATTGTCCAAATGATTAATATGTGATTTTAAAATTTAACTTTAAAACTTCGTAGAAGGGAGTAAAAACATAGCTTGTAATTTGGGTTCCTTTCATTTTTATTTTATTCTGTAAGTAGAATTTTGGTTTTAGATTACTTTAGTTCGTTAACAATGCATAATTCGGTTATTTAAATGCTTCTTTTCTTCCTCATTGCAGATATTAACTTTTTCTTTTAAGAAAAGGAACTCAACGTTACCTACTCAAAATGCACATTTTTTAAACAGAGTCAATTTAAATCTTAATTTAAATTCTAAAGCATCATGTTTTCTAGATGTGTTGGGGAATTTATTTTAATAGCTATTCAGTAGCTTTTAGTTGCTGTTTAGTAGCTTTTATTTCAATATAACAGTTATTATCTTTACTGATAAAATAACAAATGATAAAACAAAAGGGAAAAATAACAAAATATTATAAATGAAGCACAGATGAAAAATTCAGCTCCAGTTGCAGTGCTGTTTTTAAATACTGTATTCCGTTCCCAGTAATAAGACATATTGTTTGAAGTGGTTTTGCTCGACTGCAAAATAAATGATAATCTTTAACAAAAGTAACATGATGATCTTAAGAAATGTCTTGTAATTAATTAATTTCTATGTTTTAATAATGTTTTTCTATATTTCAACAGCTTCAGTTTCAATTGCTTTATGGAAAGAAACTGATATTTCTCCTTTTTTCCTACCTTTAATTCTATTCAATGATATCATGATACAAAATTAAAAATTTTGATGTAGAAAGACGAAGTATTGAAATTAGAGAAGAAACCCAAAGCCCTTGATTACGTGCCTTTGTGTATGCCTTCTTCTTCATTTCTTTTTTGATTTGCTCAATGAGACATGAAACTACGTTAGATTTTTATTGATGAACTATTTAAATTAATAACATAATTCGACTCATTTTTTAAAAAGATGCACTAAAAAGCATTTCTTGAAAATAAATTATGACTAAACATTTTAAAAAGCATAACAAAACTTTTGTTTCAAGCAAAATACTAATGAATTAATAAAGAAAACAATCATAATGATCCTAATAAATTAAGTTTATTTTAATAATTAACTATTAAATTACTAATTAATAAAATAGGATCTAGATTCGTAAATATGAAATGTAATTTTAGACATGCATTAATTTCGTATTTTTGTTAGCATCACATTTTGTTATACTTCAGTCTTGATTATTTACATAAACACAATTGAATGATTTTCAGATAATTAAAAATTTCAGATAATTAGGAACATCAGAAGATGAATTGTCAAATTATACTCGCTGAACAAAAATGACACACATTTTAATGCAAATTTGCTTATATCCATTGCTTTTTGAGGGCTTCCTTTTTATTAAAAAACAAAGGCATGTACATTATGACAGACATTTTTCTGTAAAGTTCTGAGGAGAAGAAGGATCATCTTGAATATTAAAGGAAGCCATATTAATACTCTGTAAATTTCAATGAAAAAAATTAAATTCAGAAAAAGGTCAAATGTCATAAGTTTTAGAATCATTCTTTGTTTATGTGAACTTAAAAAATGAATTATACTGGGAAGAGGATTTTCACCCACTCACTTAAGAGAAATGTTTTCCTTTCCTCCTGAAGCTGTGTGTTAGCAACAAGTAATTTACTTACTTGTTTTCACAGCCATGTTAATCAAAGCTCCGTATAATTGATAAATATCAAAAGTCAGCTGGCAATGCAATAAAAACATTCTCAGAAAATCAGTTTTTAGTGGAAATTATTTTCAAAGCTGTTGTATCATATTGTTCTGGTTACAGTAAGGCACAGTATTATTATTTTAAGAATTATGGCTGGTATAAAAACAATATTGGTCATGTGTCTTGGTAAAAAAGACACATATACATTATAGTAGTAATAATATTAACAATCATAACCATTGGTAATAATAATATATAAAATCCTCCCATAACTAATAATTTGTGTGTAAATTAAACTTTCATCAAATGTTGAAAAACTATGTATGGTATTTCAATAAAAAAATCATTTAATTCCACAGATTGTTTTCAACTTTTGATTTTAATTATTGTTTTATTTTTTTTTCCTGAGTAAGTGTTAAATTTACTTAGCAATCGACTTTACAAAGGAAATTGCTCTCCATTTGATTCAAATCCTTATATCCTGAATTACAAATACTATAAAGCAATAGGAATAAAACTCACCAATGACATTGAGCTTCACCGACCAGTTAAGAGTCCTACCCCTTTTAAAATCCACACGGCAACGATATTCTCCTGCGTCACTCTGTTGGACATTCTGCAGAGTCAATGAAGCAGCACTTGGCCTCTGGGTACTCGCATTGAAACGACCCCTGTTTCCTAGTACCTTAAAAAGAAACAAGAACATACATCACAGAACTAAAATATTATAAAGCCTTTTTATACAGTATTCTGCACAATAAGCGCCGTAAGCTCAAACCACTAATCCCTAATAATGGTCCTTGCGGTTCATGGTATCTCAGTTAGAGAGCGAATATTTAATAATGCCAAATGAGATCTTGCAAAAATTGCTCTAACAATTTCTCTTTTTTCAGCCCTATCGTCTCCTTAGATCACGCCGTGCCTTTTCGACGATAACTATTAAACCTTTCCAATAAACTTCTTCGACTAAACAAATCTTCGACTTGACAAACTTATTTATTTTAGACCGAATCTGCAATTTAGTTCGCAACTGATGGCACACAATACTAATATGCGTGTATCTATTTATGAGGCAAGTGCGTCGTTCCATTTCTTCACAGCATCTGAACGTTGAATAAAAATATCTCGAAGAAGTCTGATTTTCACGATAAATCGTTTTTATTAAGCAGTTTCAATTACTTAAAACATTTTTCTCATAGACATTTTAATCCATGTGATTCATGTTGAAAAGCATCGAATTTCACATGTTTTACTAAAATAGTCGGATCAAACCTAAATTCATAAAATCTAGTTAATTTAAACCATTTCTGAACCCAAAACCCTGTGTCTACGATAAGTCGTTCAAGATAAATATTTAATAATGCAATGTTTTGGAGCACCTCGTGTATACAAATGCTGGAATCATAAATGAATTTTAAGAAAGACAGAAAGGTAAAGAAATGAACATTCAGTAATGCAAATTATAATCCTAAAATGCTATCCAGTGATATATTTTTATATATGAGTTTGAAATTATATAAGTTAATTAAGTCAGATCCAATGGGAGTTCCCAAAGAGACCCGGTATCAGATAAGTGTTGATGATTAATATTTCGAAAGATATTTTCGTGAGTTTCATCCACCAGGGGTATTCTTATTACGGCAGAGTCTTCAAAGAAGCAGAGAAAGACATCAATGTATTTTCAGTGAAAAGAAAGTCAGCTAATGCTTAAACATTTATCAAATTAACAAAGTCTCTTGCAGCTGATGGCACCAAGGTAATTATTATACTTATTAATTGAACATTATTAGTGAGACAGGTTCTATTTAGGAATTCACTAGACTTTAAAATTCCATGACGAAGAGTTTGAAAAAACGAAATAAATATTAACGTTTTGAGTCTCACTGAAATTAGTCTAAATAAACAAAAACAAATCTTTTGAAAATAATCATCCAAGCTATTTATTAGGTAATATGACAAAATTTATCAATAACCCAAAATCTTGGTTACAATTTTAGCATAATACAAAATTTAACAGGCCTGAACCCGAAGCATAAAGCCATAATTTTCGTATTTGTAAAATAGGTTAGAATAAAATTATGTGTACAATTGTATCTTGACATTTAACCTTTAAAATTGACTGATTCAGATATCATGCTAACTTTTGACAATTAGACATTGCAAAAAAAAAAAAAAAAAAAAAAAAAAAAAAAAAAGACAAATGTCGAAAATTAATTACCGAAAAAAGGAAATTAATTAATTGAAATACAAATCAAATTTCCGCACGTGGTAAGAATGCTTTATTTATGATTTAATAAGTGCTACTACATCGAAGAATTCAGATCAGTCAAGTTGTATATAATTGGTAATGCAAAAGTATAAATTAACTCTGAATGTGTTCTGTGAATACACGGAAGTAATACATGTTATTAGTTAAGTTAGGAATCAGAGTCAAAACGAAACAAAATACTGTCAAAATGCGAAGTCAGACTTTTTTTTAAATTTACGAATGTATTTTAAACACCGAAAAGCATAAATAGAATATGATGCATTCTGTCGGATTGCGTGCTAAAAGGATTCCTCGGACAGAAAGCAAAGGACATGTATTTACATTTAAACACAATTTAACTTAAATACGAAGCTGATGTTTTAGAAATATTCTGATACCCTTGAAATTTCTACATATAATAAAAGGAAGATTCTGTCTGTGTGTGTATCTCTCGTTCGTGCTGCGCATAAGCTAATAGACTCAGGACTACGAAATTTGGTATACAGGTGCATCCAGACAATTTTTATCTTTTTTGATGAAATATCGTCATTCTGAATAGTAGATTCATTCTTTTAGAAATGTGGTTTTGGCAACAGTTTTCATTCAATGCTTTGTATACTGGACTGCTGTCTGTTGAAAATATGAGATAGAATATTATTAATTATACTTTTTTTTCAGAGGTTTTATTTTCTGTGTTTTTTTTACACGGTATTTATTGCTTATTTTCACTGTTTTTAAGATACTGATTTTTTTTAAAGGAAACAAAGTTCTAAACTTCCTTTATACCATTTGAATATTTACGATTTTGCAGCGGGAAGTTCGTTAATTTATTTATTAGAATAATTAATATTTGTATTAAGGGATATTGCTTATTTCATTGTAATTTTGTTTATATATAATACATTTTTATTAATTTTTTTTCATAAAATTGTTCTGCAAAGTAAAACTGTGCAGTTTTTAAATTTAATGTTTGGTGTTTCCTTTAGGCATTATTCCAATGCATTTAAAAGCCAGAAGAGCGCTGGCCGCGTAGCGGCTAGTATACAATACGAGGAAATGTACGGAATCCCTCTCATTCATTGAATGAAAATATTCTTCTATATACTCTGGGGCTAAATTTTAAATATGAGGACTAAAAATAAATATATGAATGAAAATTAGAAAAATAATAGTAAAAACTTCAGTCTTATTACAGGGGACCATTTTTAACTGTGAAATTTTGGATTGAAATAAAATCATTGACTGCATTGACAGATTTTAGTGAACGTATGTCACTTCAAGAAAGTTTAATTCTGTAGTTTAGAATGTCATTTGAATAATAGTTCAAAGTAAAAATAATTATTTATGAATTAACAAGGATAAGTTACGAAACAATAACTTACATCTGCTTTAATCCGAAACTGTAACATTGCACTGGTTGTCCGATTTATTATAGCTGCCAATAAATCTCTCAAGAATTAAAATACTTCACTGATATTCTTTTTTTCCCTATTAAATGACATAGTTCTACAGAAGATAATTGCTTCTTTTCTTCTTTTTCTACAAAATCCTAGTCTTTGATTGAATTTTTTTCGGTTAAGCGTCAAGTTAGAGTGCTCACCTTATACAGAAGAAGAGACATAAATCAAAAGCAACTTTAAATGAATAAATATTTACGTTTATATATACAAGTCTGCTTTATAATAAATATCATTTTAAGTGTTTGATTCTTCGCAGAGAGAGAAGTACGTGATATGTGAGCGTGATGACTATGTATTTGGCTAATGATGATCTAGACTAGAAGAGAAACACGCTAATGTGACAATAAAAATCGTAAAAACAACCTTGTATTTAGCGTAAGTATAATGAAACACTCAATCGATTTCGAGGGGAGCTTAAGGTCCCTCCTCATCAGGAGAAAGAAATACCTAGAAAGAAGGAAATAAAGGAGAAGGAGTTTCAGAAACACGTGCTCCTTATCAGCATTGCACGTGGTTATAACTGGATTTTTAATCAGAGTTGCACTGGCCGCCAACTTTTACTGAGCCAGGCTATCTGATCAAGCAAAAAGGACAAGAAAAATTATCGAAGTTAAAATAGGGAGCGAAGGGCAAATGCACCTTCACGCTTACAATCTGAACTTCAAATAATGGAAAGCAACCACTGAACGGATTTTTATACCCTCTGGTAATACCAAACGCAAGGAGGTAACGCCATCTATCGGCAAAAATAACTGAATTAAGATAGCAGAATTTTTTTTTTTAAGGCATTAGGAAGGACTGGATTGGACTTCAAATCATTAACTAAACCTGTTAAATCTTTGTGAATGTGAAAAGCCTCAAGAAAATCCGATTCACCTATGGAAGAAGCTTTTTGGATAATTTATGCAGACCCAAGTCAAAATTATGGTTAAATGTCCAACTATGATACGCTATTGAAGACTTGTTAATTTCACCTTTTCTGACATAAGATTCAAGTTCCTGGATACGAAACTTCAACGCTCTTTTTGTTTGGCCAATATATCTTAAACCACATTGACACGATATACTACAAATTCCCCAAGAATTCAAGACAGAAACGCAATCTGTTAGAATCAAAGGGTGAATTTTATTAATAGGGGAGAAACCGACTTGAAAATTGAATTTCTGGAGAATCCGTGCAATTTTATAGCTAACAGAAGGATAAAATGGAAGCACGACAAGGTCATTAGTATTATTTCTAACAGTGGAATGTCTTCTTTGATGGGAATCTGAAAATTTTTTAACGGCTTTATCAATAATCACGGGAGAGAAAATCCACGGTCAATCGCAACTGCTCTCAAATAATTAAGTTCATTGGTAAGCAAAGATTCAGATGAACAAACTTTAAGCGCGCGGAATACATAATAGTAAAAGAAGCCATTTTTTGCTTAACAGGGTGGCATGACTTGGCATGGGGTGGTAAACAAACTGCAAAGGGTTTACGGTACACAGTGGTGCTAAAATCAGTTTCATTGCGGATTATAAGAATTCGAGGAAGGGGAGGGAATTGTTGGATTCAATTTCAAGAGTGAATTGGATGGCTTGATCATTTGAATTCATAATAGATAGAATCTCGGTTAAATCCTCTTTATAACCGTCAAAAAGTGCGAAAGTGTCGTCAACATACCGAATCCAAAGACGAAAAGATAGTTTATCAAATAATTTCATCTCAAAATAGTGCATATAAATGTCAGCAAGTACCGGACTGAGAGGATTACTCATAGCCAATCCTTCAACTTGACGAAAATATACATTTTGGAAAACAAAGTGGGTTTGACTTAGAGAAACTTTAGTAAGCGAAACCACCTTATTAATTTCAGTATGTGTGAAGTGAAATTCCCGAAGCCTAGTTTCAAGACAATTTAGTGCTCCTTCGACCGGAACATTAGTAAACAGTGATTTGACATCAAATGAAACCATAATGGAACGAAGGGGAGA